ATGATTTCTACAGCTGATATATATCTCGTTCATGTGACGTACTTCTATTTTCTTCCTAAAAATAGTATATAATGTGCTTTCCTTGATAACAATTAATTAAAGATGATCACCAAGATGAAGGATTATTTGTTTTCACTTCTGTTTCCCATTCTATCTGCCGTTGCTTATATAAATTTAGCCCACTCAATGGGCCATCTTATTCTCACTATCCGTCAGCTGTTTTGTTAAAAGCTTGCTGTGTACAGAAATTGCACAGAAAGAAGCCATTCAGAACAGACACAGTAGGGAGTGGGTGGAGGGAATTTTTGGCATTTTTTATCACAACATGGATCCCACACGTGAAATTTCTTGCAGAATTTTGTGGAACAGTTTTCTGTACAAATGGAAATCTTCGTTCTATTAAGTATCCATAAAACGGTGGCCCTATGAAGACAAGAAAAATATTATCTTATTGTTTTTTATTTAGGGAAAAGTTGTGTATAAACTATTGCCACATTTTGGAAAATCCTACATGTTTCTACAATTTCAAAAACTCGTGTTTTTGTGTGAAAACTAATGTCCTTACCATGACCTTATATTGCGTCCTCAACTGTAACCAAAACACTCTGCATGTTAAAGTACATGGACCCGTGCGAAATATTATTATGATCATCACACATGGATTACAGTGCCAATGTGCTATGGCCATATGTCGTTCGCTCACAACTAGTAAAATTAATAGAAACTTCAACAAGCATTCTATTGTCACTGATGAAAAAAAAATGATCCGTCAGATGTGGATTCGATCTAATTTATGAGAAATCTATGCTTTACAATGAACACATTCAATGGTTTTCATTCATATTCAACAAATTTCAATTGGTTCAATGGCTTAAAACTCTCCTTACTCGCGTAAGTACAAGTATTACGCTCTCTGTTTCTCGCTCCTTTCATGTAGCTCTCACAAACCCTTGTTGAGTTCCCTAACAGCGTAGAGCATGGGAAGCTCAGATCCAATCAATATTCAAACGAGGAGCACTTCTAGTTTAGTTTAGTAGTTATTTTCTTGTTAGTTGTGATGTGAACGGGCTTTTTATTTAGGGCTGAACAATGAAATAATCTAATCATAAAATTCAATCGAAATAGCTTTCTTAAAATCGTTGGCTTGGATTCATGTGGATCTGTCAACGTTTTAATTTTGAACCGAACCAAATTGCTGCGAAGTGATTTAGTTTAGATTTCAATATTTGCAAACCGTTTACCAAAATTAATTAATTAATTATAAATTAATTTAAAATTTATCCAATCAATTAAAACTAAAAACATCTTACTTAAAAAAGTTACATATATGTATTAGATAACTCAATTAAACTCAATACCAAACTAGACAATTATCCATATCAATTAGTTAAATAAATCATACCAAAATATCTATCGGTCATCACAATTGTTAATGCAAAACCTTAAAATATGTTGAAGTGTTGTACAACTGCAGTGAAACCATATTTATTAATCGCCAATTTCATTCAAGTAAACAATTAAATTTAGATCTTAATTCAAACTCACACATTTTTTTTCCTTTTACTAATATTTTTTCCCTTGAATTTTGAAAAATTTCAACCACTTTATCCAAATTTTATTATTTTTATTGTTTGCTATGTCTTATTGTAGTTATGTTATTTTGTTCTAATTTTATCGAGCTCCCTTAAGTTTTTAACAGATGATTTTCTAGTCAGTCAGTCAATTAATTATTTACATTTTAATTTAGTTTTTAAATTTTATTGTTAATTGCTAAAATAATTTGATGGATTACTTAAATGGTCATCTTTAAAATTTGACCAATGAGTCTTCCAACATTTTACTTTGGTGGAAATTGAATTCAAATAAGTATTAGATTATCTCTCAAATTGTCAAACATGTATTAGCTATTCAAATATTCACAATTGTTTGGGTGCATTCCTTAATAATAATTGGATTCTTATGTCCTTTATGAATTCGTTGAGTGCAAATATGGTCGAGGGAGTGATTTATCCTAAAAATGGTTGCATAATAACAAGGAATTTACAGCGATTTGTAAATATTTGGGTGGGGTAGAAGCATTGAATTATTCACATAAAGTTATAGAAGATGTATCATAATTGATCTTTTTATTTATTTTATTTTGTTAGTTGTTTTATGTCATTTAACTACAATCAATGAATTCATATATTATATTATTATCTTTACGGTGAAAATGAATCATATGCTGAAATTACACATCTTACATTAATTAGTATCGACTAAGAAATTAAAATGTTTCTATCATATATTGCATTATAATGATTAGAATTATGGAGTTTTGGTTTGTAATATTTTTAATGATACTCTATGTGTTTTAAGTAGAAATTTTAGACCAGTATATATGATTTAACTTATTCGATATATGTTGTTATTATTTTAATTTATTTTTTTTGTTAAATCATGGTTTTAAATCAAATCAAGCACAAAAAAATTGGCTTGATTGGTTTTGTTTGGTTTAGAAATTGAAATAGTTTGATTTGATTTGAAAAAAAAAAAAAAAAATCCCTCAACACTTTAAGTGATTTGATATACAAATTTATAATAGCGAATCATGTTCACCCCTACTTTTACTTATAAGATTAATTGAGTAGGCTTGCGCTAATTGTATACTATAAGACAACTAGTATTGAAACTTTCGACATAAAAAGCCTATTTGATGTGTTTTCGCTATCGCACATAAGTGTATGTAGTCGTCATCTTTTAGTCTAGTTGGAATGCATCTGTAATCTTTTTAATGTTAATGCTTTCTTCCTACATTTGTATTATTTGTTTTAGTTGTGATAGCTTACATGCCAACTAGATAGGGCAAAGCCAAAGCAATACACGAAATCGCTTTTAAAAAATATCAAATATAATACGATGTAAATATATTACAAAGCTTGGAAAGTAAGAATTGAAGAACAATAGTCTTGGAATCCTAAACTAATTAATTATTTTCTTGTTCCACACAGAATTCCACTGCATGTAATGTAACCCATTTAGCAATTATTAATTGCAATAATACAGTGTTTATTTACTTTAAATGACACACGTCGAATCCATATCTTGGAAAGAATCTGATACGAAACGTGACACTAGAATTAATTAAATTGAGCAAAAGAGTCGTGACAACAAGATGGGGTGAATGGCGACCCTAAGAAATCAGCTTCATTAAGTTTTTAGTCAGTTCGTACTTAACTTAGTAACTATAGTCTATAGATAAGGTCGATAATGAGGAATATGTTTTAGTCAATTCTTTGTAATTGATTCTTGTGTTGGGAAAAATCGGGGACAATATGAAGTATATGATTACATAAATAAAAACAAGATTAAGAGTAAAGAAAGAAATAAGTAGAGAAACAGAGCATTTTATTGATAATCAATAGGAGATAATAATACAACTTCAACAACAATGTTTCCCCTAAACTGAATAGAAGAACCACATATTTTTAGGGGCATAACAAACCCTAAAAATATCATAAAGATGGAAATAATAGCGACAATAATATGGAATAAATGAAATAATATTTTTTCAATAAAATCATGTAAAATAAAGGAAACAAAATATTTCAGTAAAATCTTGTGAAAATAAGGAAATAATATTTTTCAAACAATCCAACCTAATTTTGGTCACAAAATCAAACAATTTTCATCTTGACCCAAATTCCGGTATAACGAACAAAGTTCCAAATTTCTCCACTAGAAAAATAAGTTTGACTACAACGAAATAAACCGATCTCTTCATTCAAAACCAAAATCCTTTACCTCATTAAAAACGCTCTACTTTATTCACAGCATCCACAAATAATACCTAAACCCAACCCCAAGTTTCCAAAATTCCACTAGAAATTCAAAATTTATCAAATAAGGTCGAAATGCACCCTTAGTAGAATACACACTGAGTGTTTTGACTGAAAGCCTTGCCTAGACTTGATAACTTCAAACTCCTGAAAAAGCATGAACACCAACATCTACAACATTGTACCTATTCTCTATGAGTCATTCCCTGGCAAATGAACACGATGAAACCACAAACGATTTGGCAAAGCGAACTTACCCATATCACCCAAACTATTATGTTACATCCCATTTTATACTAGTTAAAAGTCAATATTATTTATTCAAAGTCAAAAAGTTAGACTAGTCAAAGTCAAAGTCAAAGTCAATTATGGACTTAAATGGAATAAGTTGTTTTATTGGGGCTTATTTTATATTCTAGATACTTGATGATTTATAATGAACATCAATTAGGGATTAGATTACAAGAATGGAAAGTTAATGACTAGATTTTATACAAAACATCAAAGGAGGGACTTCAATGCAAATATGGGAGTGTTAGAAGACAAGTGTCATTTGTAGAAGCTTTTCATTCCCTTTCATATTACAAATAGTCAAATACATACCGGCCGAAAAATGGTGCAGCAAAAACCGAAAAATGGAAGGAAGAAAAGAGGAAAAGAAAAGGTTTAAAAAAAAAAAAAAAAAAAAAAAAAAAAAAAAAAAAAAAAAAAAAAAAAAAAAAAAAAAAAAAAAAAAAAAAAAAAAAAAAAAAAAAAAAAAAAAAAAAAAAAAAAAATTGGATTAATAAGTAATATCGATTAGGTATAATTGGTAAAGAAAAACAATTATAATCACGTAAAATCAGCCACATGTGTACCTTGAAACTAAGATATATAATTGGATGTATTGGGGGAAAATAATTAGAGTGAGTATCAATTTTATTGAAAGATAAATGAACAGGAACTGAATAGTAGGCTAATAAGATTAATTATTGGTTAAATGATATTGGCTAAATAATTATTTATAATTTACTTTGAATAAGGAAATAATTGAGTAGTGGACTTGAGTGAACCGAGTGGAAAATTCTTTAAATGAGGAATTATATTAGATGACTACTTA